CTTGAATTTTATGATGGAGACGTGCTTATGCTCTGATGCTTTTGCAGATGCTATTGGATACCCAAGCTGTTAAGACTATCCTTCTAGAAATTCCTTCCCTTGGTAGACAGGTGATTTAGCTCATGCAAATGCAAATTTGTAGTCACAACAATTATATTCTGTTTGGGCGCATGTGTCCCCTGTGTTGATTTCTGAATCACATATTTTTATTACTTACTTTTCGGACTTCTATGGCACTGATTTCACTTACTTTACTGGTGACATATTGATGGCCTTCCTCGCACTTCCTTGATTTAGTTTTGAGCAGAGCAATATCTACTGATAATTAAACTTCCCAAAAGAACAAGCTTTTTCATGACTATTGTTTGATATTGGAATCAATCGAATGATGATGATTGGAAAATGAAATGTCTTAGTTTTATTGAATTTAGGGAATGACAGATGGCCAGATAGTTACCTTAGTTTGTGCGGTGCAAATCATTAATATGAAGTAGCTACAATAGAGAGGAATTGTCGCATTTTCTGAATTAATCCCAAGATCAAGCAGGAAATGAAAACTGGCTCTGTTGAAATGCTTGGAAGATAATCTAATTTGTGGGCTAGACAAAGGTTACCTGCCTGCAATCTATGATTTTGACGTACTTCCTCTGGTTCTTATTATAAGAGCCCTTTTAGGAGAAATTTTTGGTCCTTTCTCAATGAGTATCAAATACCTTTTTCCACGTATACCCACATTTAATGAGGGTAGTGAGAGAATAGAAATTAATTTAATGTTGGAATTTAGTGTAATTAATGAGTGCAAGATTGGAGATTACTTAATTTTATGACAAATTTATTGCTTTTAACTCTTTTTATTGGTACGTGTGAATTAGTCAATGGATTCTTATTAAAAGGACCCAAGGGAGTACTTGGCTTGGCTGTGTTAAATAGTATGGAGCATTGTATTCTTAGTCTTCACATGTGCAGTTATCTTGTGCTTGTCAGGGGCTTGTTAATTGTTCGCTGATCATCCTGACTAACTTTTGATTTTCTGCAACAGACATCAGGTGCTGCTAGCTATTCGAAATTTGTAAGTCGTGAGATGAGCAAAGCAGAAGCCCTATTGAAGGTTTGTTATTAGTTAGTTGGAAGATTGGAAGACTATTATTTCATGCACGTCTAGATTCTCTCCCTGATTCAAGGTTGTGTAAATCACTCTGTTTAGGTTATTCTTTCGCCCGTTGATTCTGTAGCAGATACATACCGGGCACTGCTACCTGAGGGTACACCCATGGAGTTTCAGAGAATACTGGAGCTCAAGGTTAGCTCTTCTACTAACATATATTCTATTGCATTATTTCTTTGGCCTGGTCTAAGATGAAAGATTGAGGGGGCCATCATCTTTGAGTAAGTCAAGGTCAAGGACCTGTGATAAGTTACTTCTAATTGGGTACATAAAATGCATTTTATATGGTTATATTAAATGCAGGATAAAATGAAATTACAGTGAGCCCACTGCTAAAATTTTTTCTTAATCATAGTTTAACAATTGAGGATAAATGAGTTATGCTTTTCATATTCCGGCAATGTTATTGCATTGCAAACTCTTAAAAGTATAACGAGAAGAATAGTCTTGAAAAGAATAAGTATCATAGTGCTCAGAGTCTGTGGCATTAAACATTACTATTTGGTAATTTGGTGTATGTGTTAGTAGATTCAAAGGAATCTCTTGATTAAAAGCTACAACCCTTAACAAAGTTCACTGCTTAGACTGACAAATATTATTATTATTACTACTACTATTATTATGTTTAGGAAGTTAATTGAAGTATTGACTGACTGACATTGTAAATTACACTCATTGGTATGATTCTATAGAGCATCAATCCTTTCAAAGGAACATTAATTCTATTGTACATAAAATTTGAAGTGTCAATGAGCAATTTCAATGAATCCCACGAAACATTTACGACCGAATATGTTCTCACAATCTAATGTGGTTGACTGACCATTCAGCTGTTCAATTGGTTAAATATCTATACTTGATTCATTCTCATCTTCGTCGATGATATTATGATGCAAAGTTTTTTGAGTTTTAGATGTCCAAGATTGTTTTATGCAAGTTATTCATCTCGAGACTCCAGATAACTTTTGTGGCATGGTTTCAGGGACTTAAAAAGGCTGATCAGCAAACCATTCTTGATGACTTCAACAAACATGGGCCTGGAATAAAGCAAACTCAGATTCCACCGGCAGTTTCCCAGGCTGCTCCAGTAGCTCCATCAGTGCCTAGTCCTATTTCTGTTGGACTTATGGCTTCTAGGGAGGATGTGCTTACCAGGGCTGCTGCACTTGGACGAGGAGCTGCCACCACAGGGTTCAAGAGATTCCTTGCTCTAACTGAAGCTGCCAAAGATCGGAAGGATGGACCTTTCCGGAAATTATTTAATGCATAGGGAAGATTGAAGAGATTGTGATGTAAACATTTTCTTTGAAAAAAAATTGGGGTGGAAATCAAACCCCTTTCGTCAGTTATATTGTTCTAGCTTTTTCCCCCTTCACTGATTCTTGATGTAATTCTACTGTCCATATCTATATTTCCTTAGTCTACTGGAAAGCGATTTTGTGGACGGAAAGCCCCATCAAATTGCATATTTTTTAGTGGCTTGTTCAGTAGCTTTCGCCTGTTACGCTATCCTTTGTATTTTTTTGTCGTCATAAATTTTTGCAATTCTGTGTTCTCTTGTTTTTTGTTTTTGGAAGTTGTTTTGAATATGTGCGCAAACTGCACAGTGAGGTTTGTCTCGTTTACATTCCCCCCCCCCCAAAAAAAAAAAAAAACACTTCAGGCACTTTAGTATGGCAAGTTGATCCTAAAGACCTAAACATGTAGATTGTTAATTCTGCTCAAAATTTGGAATGAGTTGATTTAAAGTTGTGTTCTAGCTGTTCATGATACGCAATACAGATTATTAATTGTTCTTGTATATTTCATTTTACTCCCCCTGAGGTGACTTGGAATTCTGTGGACATATTCGTGTACATCGATAAGGGAATTGACTAGTAGTGTTCTTATAGTGAAGTAAAACAACGAATCTCACTTGTAAATTGATGGTTGACAAGTTACAAATTAGAAAATAAGAATATCAAATCCCTAAAAGTCAATATTTTTTACAAGTTAAATGGTTCACTTTCTTTCGTTGATTATTACAAAAAATAAGAAAACAAATCTTAGTTGCAAATTAATGATTGCAAAGTTGCAAATTAGGGAATAAGAGTATCAAACCATTAAAAGTCATAATACCTTTGATAAGTCAAATGGTTCATTTTCGTTCACAAATCAGCGAATCTCACTTGCAAATTAATGGTCACAAAGTTGCAATTAAGGAACATGAGTATCAAGCTACTAGAAGTCATGAAAATTATTCCTCCTCCTTCGTAAATAGACAATTCTCACTAGTAAACTAGTAGTGACAAAGTTGTAAATAAGGGAATATATTTATTAACATATGAGAAGTTATCGTATCTTTAACAAGATACATTTTTTTATTTTCTCATAAATAGACGAATATGACTTGCAAATTAGTGGGTCTGAAATTGCAAATTAAGAAATAGGAGTATCAAGCCATTTAAAAGATTTTTTATCCTTATTTTGGTAATTTTCAAATTTTATGGCTCTATTATTAAACTAGTTCCCTCCCATCCCCTCCCTTTCCCCCAGTCCAGCATGAGTATAGTTCCCAATAGATTATATGTTATTCACTGTTTTTATTTTACTCTGTCCATGGTTTTACTTGTTTTAGTTTCAAGTAGCTTCACATAAACTTTTTTTTTGGGGCCAAATCTTCATATAACGAAAATTAACAATTTATCAAAACATATTCATTTTTTTCCTTATATAAATGATCAATTATGACAATAATATTGAAAATAGTGTGGCTTCTTGGTAATAAATTCCAAAGTGCTTTTTCTCATTGCCTTTTTTTTTTTGTTGCCGAAAAAATTTGAGGGCCCCAACCAAACAAGTGATAAAATGTGAGAGCGCACCCCTCAGAGAGAGCCCGTGATGTGGATTTGAAATTCGGACCGTTGTGCAGTGCCAACGATAGCACAACGGTTAGTTTTCCTTCCTCTAGGACACGACCTTCACTCGTCCTCCCCCTCCTCCATTCCATCGTCGCTCACACCTTCTCTTCTTCCGAGATAGGTTGGCTTTCCTCTCAATTTGAGACTTCAAACTTCAAGCCCTCCGTTTCCCACTTCCCTCCTCTGAAGAATATACTCCAAACGGAGTGAGAGAGAGACTCGGCGATGCCAAATCAATTCTCAAACCGGAACTTCGATTTGGTAATTCTTCAGTTTTCTTACGCTTTCTCTGTGAATTCCCGTCAAATTCTGGGAGAATTGAATTGTCGGAGATAAACTTACTCATCTAAGGCTATTTTCCATTTTTTCGTCAATAGGGAAATTGAATTGAATGTTTGGCTGTGCAAAAATTCTTCGAAGATGATGCAAGAACATAAGCAGCTCAAAGTTACAGAGAAGTCCAATTCCGCGATGGACATGGTTACGGATGTTGCGGCTCCTCCTCCACCTCCTCTTCCTCCGCCGCCACCCTCGCCCTCTCATCAACGGCGGCCTAGGGTGAGGGAAGTGAGTTCTAGATTTATGTCTCCTGTGGTATCTTCTGTACAGAGGCGGCCACGGCAGCAGCAATCCGAAGTAGATCCCTTGAGTACTGCTGATGTGAACCGATCTATAGAAAATTCGGAAACTCCATTTCCTTTTGGATCTCAGTGTAAATCAAATGTAGTAAATACGACTGCCACTATACAGAGAAAACAACGAGCTGTGAAACTCTTTAAGGAGAATGGTGGAGGAGGAAGAGTTGAACAGCAACCTCCTCACCCTTCAAAGTCCTGTTCTGGGAGGATCGGAAATGGTTTTACCTCACCCTCCTTGAGACCGGACACTCCAACAGTAACTGTATCCTCAAGATACAGACTCATTTCGCATCAGCGTTCTGCTAGTATGAATGCCACAGCTGCTTCAAAACTATTGCAAGCAAGTGGGATGTCATCGGGAAGTCAATCTTCCACTGCAAATTCATTTAAGGGCAACATTGGTTCGCCCCAAAGGGAAACCAATTCAGTGTCTGGGGATACTTCTTCGGTATGCTCTGATGACGAAAATCATAGCAACTCGGAGGTCAACTGCAGCATACAGTCACTTCCAGAATTTCGGTCGTCTGTGCTGGAGGGAGAAATGTTGCCTGCTGTGTCTACTAGATCAGTGGATGAGAAAACTGGCAATAAGGGTGCTGTAAGAAGTAGTGGGGACAGTTTGAAATTCCCCACAACACCTTTCTCACGTTCTCTTAACCCGTCATTATCAGGCAGTGAGCATTTACTAAATCATTCCATAAGGGGCAGTGAGAAGCATGTGACTTCTCTTGTCAAGCAGTATGCAAATTCTGCAAAAGTTGGAGGTCTTTGTTTGCCCCCAGTAGCTCCGTGTCCAAAACCGGGGGTAGATACAAAGAAAAGTAAAAAAGGTTCCAATCATCAGGAAATCGTGCATAGCCTGAGATTGCTATATAATCGTTATCTGCAATGGAGATTTGCCAATGCAAAAGCAGAATCCTCATTGAAAGCTCAGCAAGGAGAAAGTGAGGTGTGTAGCCTATGTTTCTTACCTAATAACAAGTTCATAGCTTAAGAGAAAACCTTTATTATTTGTGTGGGTAGTTCTAAACTTCTAGTGCTGTTGATTGAAGGAGAATTTAGCAGACATGATTTGATGATTGGCAAGATGTGGGTCTATAGTTTGTTTAAGCTATAGAACCTCATTAAAGGAAAGGCTAAAGGCCTAAATGATATAGATTATAGTCTGAAAGGAAATTTTGTAATTTCCAGCAATCTCATGAAAGACGTGGCACAATGAATAAATCCGTGACATATGATCTATTGACAAATTTTTTTCCACAGCTCATTTTAATTTTAGTTTATGTTGAGTCTTTTACTTAAAGTATAATTTTATGGCATAAGTACTGAGAACTTTTATACATGAAGGTATTATTGTGATTAACTATCCAGATTTTTGTTGCTTAACCATCTGGATTTCACTCTACGTGCATAATATGCACTTGATCTTTTAATCAGTCTGATTTAGATTACAAGTCCTTTTATCCCATCTTTGGCATTTTGCTCACGTTTCTCTGGTTGCTTTCCCCTTCCATGTTTGGTAATTCTTGCAGAAAGCACTTTATTCTCTGGCATTGAAAATGTCAGAGTTACGTGATTCTGTGAACTTGAAACGCTTAGAAGTGCAGCTTTTGCAGAGAGCAAAGACTTTGTTAATAATTCTTGAAGCTCAAGTAAGACTTCCGATGCAATTTTTTTTGTTTTTGTTGTGCATCTAATTTGTGCATAGGGCATTGCCTTTTTGTTTTTTTGTTTTTTGTGCATATGCTTTTGCACTGGAAATTACATTACTCATATCAGTATTAATACTTGAGTAAATTTTGTTTTTGCACATAATCCTAAGCAACTAATGTCTTCTAAAGGATGCATAAGATGCAGCTTATCCTGAGGCCTCTGCTGATGTCCGTAGAGGGTCTAGATCCTCTCAGAATCCTTCTTTCTCCTTTTTTTTTCCTCTCAGAATTTGATCTCCACCTTTGGATCAAATAATGAATAGTTCAGATTTCATTCTTTATAAAACTATTATTATATAACATTGCATAAATAGGAGAGGGAAGGTGGACATCTGCTTTTTAAAATATTAAATCTGAACCATCTATTATTTAATCCAATGTTAGAGATGAGATTCTAAGAAGAAAAGGAGAAAGAAGGATTCTGAGAGGATCCAGATCCGTCTGTAGAGCACAAATTGTTCATACCATGTACTTGGTGTTTAATTTGTGGATAAGACGATGCTAGTTTTTTTTTTTTTTTTTTGGGTACAAAGAAGATGATGCTATTTTTGTTCACGATAAAAATACTTCTGGGAATTTTATTACTTATTGTGGTATTACTACTTAAGTCTATAACCTTTTTCTTTGAACGTCATTTTAAGAAACTAATATCCTCTAAAGCTATCTCTTTGAAGAGTAGGGCCAAGTTAATTGTCTAATACATTTATCATGTCTGTGACTGTAATTTTAAGAAACTAGCATCCTCTAAAGCATGCCTCTTTGAAGAGTAGGGCCACGTTAATTCTCTAAAACATATATTATGTCTCATATTTTGTTTTCTTTTTCATGATTAGAGTGCGTTCTTGTTTTAGTTTCTTCCACTCCTCCCTTTTTTCATTTGCTTTTTCTTAATCAAATTTAATCTTCTGTTTTGTTTCTTCAAGAATTCACATTTTATTTGACATAACGATGTCTATTTCTTTCCTCCAAGCATGGTTTTCCATTTATTTGTTTAAAATAAATTATTCCTTGATCATTCTTTTGGTCTTGTTAACTTTTTTTCCACTAATCGTATCACAGATCCCTCATTTGGATGAGTGGTCCTCTTTAGAAGTAGAGTATTCTATCTCCTTGACTGAAGCAATCGAGGCATTGTTGAATGCCTCAGTGCAACTTCCAGTAGGTGGGAATGTGAAGGTATGATTAGGAATCCTCTTCTTTTCTCTATTATCCATTCACACCTTTTTCTGGATTTTATGCGTTCTGCGTGCTGCAAGTTTTACTTACCTACAAAATATTCATTCCACAGGTTGATGCAAGGGAGGTGGGGGAGGCGATAAACTCAGCCATGAAGATGATGGAATCAATTGTTTTCCATGTCCAAAGATTTACATCACAGGTGCGTAAAGACAGTTGCTATTAAAATTACAAGAAAATACACAGTTTTCTCAAACTATTTGCTAACGTCTTTTTTGTTGTTAGCTGAGGTTGAAAAGTATGTATCGCAATCTTGTGCATTACAAACACAATTTTGAATAAAACAAAACAAAACAGAAAGTTTATTCTATCAAATCCAGCTAGCTTATGCTGGAAAAATGGACGCAAGTAGATGTATTTTGCATTTTTACTTGTACTTTGTTGATTGTATTTTTAGACATTGCACTGATAAAAGCCTGTCAAACTTAGGTTGAAGAAACGGACCTATCTATTTCAGAATTAGCCAGGGTTGTTGGTGGAGAAAGAGCTTTTATTGGAGAATGTGGAAGTTTATTGGCAAGGGCATATAAATCACAGGTTTGTTTCCTGCTGAAACCAGTCATGCTGGCATATTCCTATGATAGACACCTCTACGGCGTATCTATTTATATCATAAATGTTTAGAAACTTCTCAAAGTGGAACTTTTAAACAATTGGAAATTTATCCGGGAGGCGGTGATTATTTCATATTAACTTGGGGAATTTGTGAGTTTTACAATCATCTATTACCTTTGGGAGTTTATTTCATATAGAAAGATACGGGCGGAATGTTCGCACATGGCTACCACATTTATCAGTTTTCTTCTGAATTTACAATAAATATGGCCTGCTTTTCAGGTGGAAGAGTGCAGTTTGAGGAGCCAACTTATGCAAATCCATTCAACCGGCCACAAAGCTAAAACAGTAGAATTATAAGCACAAGATATTTTCATTCTTGGTCCATACTGTGGTTGTCCTTGCGATGCTGCTATTCTACTTATTCAATATGACATCCACCGAGAGAAAGTAATCACAGCTGAATTGTGGTCTGTGCATATATGTGATGCTGATTTGTTCATAGCTGAAGAGACGGAATCAACAGTACGAGAAGCCATATGGATCTATTTCTCTTTTTTGTGTTTGGAGATGATCCATTCACTCATTTGTGGATAAGTGAGATATGTTTGAGCTGTGTTTATAGTTGCAATGCATGTGCAGAGCTCAGTCAATGGCCACTCTTTCCTTGTCTCACTTATCAGATGGCAATAAAAGTGAAATGACATGTATACAAATTTTGTCATCTATTCAATCGGAATCTACTTGGATTTTATTTTTTTGCGTTGCTTTCTTAAGAATATCCTTATTCTTGGCTTTTTATTTGTTTTTTTTTTTTTTTTTGCCAACTAGCTATTTTACTTGTTAATTATTTTGAATAAAATACGTTGACATCTCTTTAGGTAGCTAAAATTATAGGAATCTCTCATCTATTTTCGAAATCTATACTTAATTCTAATTTTTAACATCATTAAAAATATTAAATTGAAAATTGAAAATCTATACTTAATAGTTAGGTATACTAATGTTTAAACAAACTTTTAAAAACATTAAATTGAAAATTAGTAAGAGTTATAATGGAATTGAAAATATGTCAAATTGAAAGTTGTTATGGAAATAAAGGAAATGTAGGAGATTGAGAAGTGGGAGATGGAGAATACAAGGGAGAATTGGGGGGAAAATATGAAGTAATCTTTTATTCACTTCAAGCTTCCAATCACCTGGTACATGCCTATTATTTATAAGTCATAAGTCCTTAAATTCTATTTCAAGAGTTATAACAAAAAATAAATCTAAATAATTATAGGATATATAATATTTGGAAGTTACGAGTATTAATCATAGAAAACTCCCAAAAAAAGTCATTTATTTGTAGGTTAATATGACTTTTAAGGGTAAAATCCCAAAAGACAACTTTTTGGAAGTTATAGACGTCCACAGTTAATATTACAATATTTATAAGACTCCTTTTTGAATGCTCATGAATAAATAATGTGCCTCATTAAAACCTTACTAGGAAAACTAAACGGGACAAAAATCTACTGAAGGAAAAAGAATACATCATACATGTTGAATTTGCCTCATTAAAAACCAGGAAAACTCTGCAGGACAAAACCTTGATTAAGAAAAAGAGTACAACATTTATTTTTCCCGCTTGGTGAAAATATCACTTTTACTCCCACTGATGATAATATAACTTTTAACATTTCATCTCAATAGAATATACTGATTTCTTAAGTGGATTATTTTCAATTTTTTTTGAGCATATCTTTTTTTTAGCCAAACTATGCATATTGCATTGTCATTGATATGCTTTCCACTTGCATTGTATATTGTGAAAATAACAAATGAAAAGTTGTCTTGAAAATCACCATGAGATGATATATCTTACATCCTCATGATTAATTTATTTTGAACTTTTTAAATCTCAAATACATTATACATCGACTTGCATATAGGCAGAAACTTAATCACAACATGCAATATCAACAAAATATTTAAATATAATCATAAAATAAATATATAAGACTTCAAGTCCATAAAATACAATATCTTTTCATGGACAAAATCATCATAGCAAAAACTGATTATTTAGAAATTAATTACACATTCAACAACTTGATCTGGTACTCAAGTTACATTCAAAATTGTTCATCCGTTTTTTTTTTTTAGTCAAATATGTATACCCGTATTATAACATTTTATATATTGAGTGATTTTCTTGTATATGCTTTTGACATTGTAAATCCTTCAAAAATTCGTATGTAAATTCCATGATATAGAGAGACACATGTATAGGCTATAACAATATCCAACATATGGATATTTGTTTTTCTTTTCTTGCTAGATAAATAATATATGTAAAAATAGTTACCTCCACCACAAAATTTGTCTCACCATACTCATTACAAGGCCTTTGTGAAAATTTTCATTTTCACATAACTGTTCACATATCCCATAAAAACTTTATATTCCATGTGTCTGGACTGCACATCTATAATTTTCATGTATTGAAAGAACATAATCATATTTTTGTTGCGTCTTCTCTTTTTTAATTTTTCGCCAAATTTTTATCTCTTTTGCATGACAGACTTACATATAATATCCTCTTTTTGATCATGTGACATAACTAAAAACATTGTCAATAACTTTATCTGCTTTGCACGCCTCCTTTCAATCTCTTGTATTTCCTTTATTTTCATAACAAAAGTTAAGAAGTTGAAATATATTGAAAATCCTACCAAATAATGATGATAAATCTCTATTTTAATATGTTATTTGATATCTTTTTTAGAATATTTATTAGTTAAAGTGGGATAATTTGCTTTTATTATTATGGTTATTTTGAATTAAATATTGATTACATGAAATTATAGTTTTAAAAGGGAATTTTATCAGATTTGTATCTCCTCTTAAATAATTGATTTTGGGCTGTATAATATTATTTCAATTAATTTTTTATAGGCTTTAGAAAAGAAAAATAAATAAAAGAAAAGCTGAAAGAAAAAATTGAAAAAAAAAAAAAGAATAAAGACGCAAGCCCACCTTCTTGGACAACATCAAGGCATTTGGTTATTATGATATACTACCTCCGGTCCTTAATATAACATTCTATTTAATTTTTATTTTAGTTCTAAATATAAGATTCCAATCCATTTTGTCTTTTATATTTACCTATTTTTTTCTAAGATAGTCCTTCTAATAATGATAGTTCTAACCAATACACTTAATTAATAAGGATAGTTTAAAAAAAAAACAACATCTATTTATTACAAATAACTAACTTAACTTATTTTTTTAATCTTCTCGAATTAGTCAAGTAAATCTTATAATTAAAATAAGAGGGAGTATAAATACATGTGTGTGTATTGATTCATCAAGGGAGAAAACACAAGCCGCCGTATACTCCAGATTCTCATCTCCAATTTTCATCTTTTTCCTTCGGCCAATAACGCTACTTCACTCTTCTCTACCTCCAGAGCCAGCGACGCCATTAAACTCTGTTGTTCCTTGGTTTTCTGCAACTAATCCTCCATACCCACCCTTCCTCCACGGTCTCCATAGATTCTTATTGCTTCAAACATGTTGTGATGCTTCTAGAGCCGTAAAGCCAGTTTCATTGCCTTTCTTAGGGTCCATTTGGATGAGTAATTAGAAAAGTAACTTATTGTCAATTTGACTTTTGAAAAAATGAAGTTGAGTAAAAATTAAATTGGATAAGTCGAATTGTATTTAGATTAGGGTTTAGAAAAGTTACTTAGTAAAAGTAAAATTAGTAAAAAGTTGTTTGGATTATGAATGAGTAAAAGTAAATTTGTTTATAAAATTACCAAAATAGATATGAGTTTTATTAAATAATTAAACATGATTAAAAAATAATTTTACATAATACTATAAATTGAAATTAATCTAATATGAAGAAGTGAAATTTAATGAGTGAATTAAATTTTAAAATTTTAAAGAAATTATAAAAAATCATATAATTGATTTGTGCTAAAAAGAAAAAGAAAAAGAAAGTAACTAATCGATGCGGGTTGGAAAATGTGGGGGAAGGATGCAGTGATGCTACGCGTGAGAGAGAGAAATTATTTTTATTGCAGATAAGCTGCGCTAGTTTCAGAAGCTTATTACAGAGAAGCTATGTTGGGCTTAAGTCCTTCCAAACAGGATAGAAATTTTCAATCGGGCTTCTGCCCAAAATAAGCTGCTTTTCACCTTTAAAAAGCCCAACCAAACAGGCACTTAGACATGGAGGAGTAGTTTGCACTTGGAGCCCGAATGATGAGAATATTTGCTTCTCCAATTAATTTTCTCTTGGATTTTATTAGATTTTTTCTGTGTTAAGAACATTTTTATTTGAATTGGAGACTGAGATTATGTGTTATAATTTTTATTAATTAGATTTTTGCAATTTGAATTGAGTTGTACGACTTGAGATTTAAATTTGTTATATTTCTTTTGTATTCATTAAAATTATCTTATCTGGCGTGTTGTTAGATTTTATAATTGAAATATATTGCAATTGAGTGTCTCTGTAGGTATTTTTTAAGAGGAAAACAAGTTTTATTAATTCAATTTAAATTACACATCAAGTGATTTTTAAAGATGCCTTAATAATTTGATTTCTATATAGCATTTAGAGTAGTCAACTATTAAATTTACTTGACTCAAACCGTGTTCGGGTTTGCTTTTTAACTTAATGCATTTCTTTTAAACTCCCAAATTTTTATTAAATAAGGATAGCTACATTCTGTTTTCAAGAAACATTCTCATCACTGATTCCCTGAAATCCAAACCTGCATTTTTCATTATCTCTTTTTATTAAAAATACCAAAAACATAGTTTAGATTTATTTCTTTATTTTCTTAATCAGTTTTATAAAAGAAAAAAAATTCCTTTTCAAACCCTCTCTTTTTTAATGCTTTTATCGCTTAGTTAACTTAAAAATTAATAAAAAGCTCCTCAAGAAACATGACCCGACTTTTACTTTACTATATAATTTAGTTTTATTTTTTATTTAATCCAGGACAATTAAAAGTTGATATGATATATCTTACATCCACACAATCAATTTATTTTGAACTTTTTAAATCTCAATCACATTATATATGGACTTGCATATACGCGGGAACTTAATCACACCATGTAGTTATAACACAATATTTAAATATAATTAGAAAATAAATATATAGTACTTCAAGTCCATTAAATTCAATATCTTTTCGTGAACAAAATCATCACGGCAAAAACTTATCATTTAGAAAGTATTGACACATTCAACAACTTGATCTCCCAATCAAGTTAAATGCAAAACTGTTCATTCCTTTTTTTTTTAAAGTCAAATATGTATACTCATTATAACATTTTATATATTGAGTGATTTTTTTGTATATGTTTCTGATATTTTAAATCATTCAAACATTCTTATGTAAATTCCATAATATAGAGAGATACATGTATAGGCTATAATAATATCTAACATATAGATATTTGTTTTTCTTTTCTTGCTAGACTAGTAATATATGTAAAAATAGTTATCTCTACCACAAAATAATATGTCTCACCATAATCACATAAATGTAAACATATCCCATAAAAACTTTATATTCTATGTGCGTGTCTGGACTGCACATGCATAATTTTAATACATTGAAGGAATAAATCATATTTTCATTACATCTTTTCTCTTTTAGTTTTTGGCCAAATTTTTATTTGCTTTGCATGACATACTTATGTATAAAATCCTCTTTTTTATCACATGATATTATTACAAACGTTATAGATAACTTCATCTACTCTGCATGCCTCCTCTCAATCTCTTGTATTTTCTTTATTTTCACATCAAAAGTTAAGAAGTTGAAATATATTGAAAATCCTACCAAATAACGATATATATATTAAGGTGGGATATTTTAATAAAACAACAAAAAGCTCATAATGAGTCAACTGTAAACTAATAGTTGAATAGTTTTTTTTTAAAAATAAAAAGACAATTTTCATTCAACATAAGTAAAACAATTACATAAAAAGGTCAGCCAGTCACATTTAGTTAATTTGAGCAAAGTCTAAATAAACTAAAAGAGATGGCCAGCCCAGAGCATCAGAAACATGAAAGGAACAAACAAAGAAACAAACAAGAGAGGTGGGGGGAACAAAGAGCAAAACAACATAAAAGACTCGTACCCGTTTGCAAGAAAAGTTCCAACTAAACTACGAGTTGCAATTTACACCAGCTAAGATAACGCCATCCACAACACTTCAGAGAGTTATGATGACCATAAGCATCCTTTGCACTTGCTATTGTGCCAAGCAGTACTCACTGAATTATGCCACTAAGAGCTAAGGCGTGGTACCCCATGGGGTATTGAAAAAGTCCCCAGCAACATACACCAGAGAGCAAGGATTTGGCATGAAAGCCAATAAAAAGATGTCTCTTTGAGCATGGAGCAAAACTAGCTCTTGAGCAATTAGTTGACCAGGTATAATGAAGAAGCAACGTCCACAGGAACTTTCAGGGACAAAAACTGAACAAAAGCAACAACCAACTTGACTGAACAAACAAGATAAAATAGAGATTAAACATATAGCATTCCAGAGCCAAGGAGTTCCCATAAGGACTGAGCTGGCAAACAATTGAAGCAATGGATTGAGATTGGCTAAGAATTCTAAATTCGGTTTCTCGCTCAAGAGCCAACAAGAAGATAGTATCAAATCAAAAGGATTCTAAGATAAGAGAAGGCAAAAAAGCTTTCCTGGATAAAAATCTTCATGTCTACTAAATAAGACCATAACACTAGCACCAACTTTGGCCTTTCCTATATCTACAAACCATGAGGATAAGAAGCAATTCTTGAAGTTGTGCATGGAGCAACGCCCCTCATTTTGCATATCATCACTTAAAATCGGCCCCCTAATATTTAGGGAAGATGTTTAGTTGATAATTTCTTCTCCTATACTTTTCCTTTTCGGCTTCTTAGCATTAGAACTTTGCTCTTCCCCAATCTCTTCTTCAACTCGATATCGTTTGAAAGAAGACACCTTAAACGGAAAATCTATATCCATATCCACCACTTCTGAGGAAGTAACCACATACCTGACTAATCGGCAAAACCTTTTATGGATTATCTTTCTTGATTTCTTCTCCTCCTTCTCCAATAGATCTTGTTGTGCCCATTCCATGGATCTAGACCATTTTCCTAAAATGGAGGAAACGAGTAATTGCAGATGGAGAGATGGAGAAAAGAACAGTTGATTCCGCACATACTTGTTGCAAGGAGGACAATGATTGACCGTCGCAAGACATAGTGACAATTCCTTACTGTAGAATGTGATTTCGATGTAAAATATATAATATTTAATTTAGGGAAATGTTATTAAGAATGTGATTATAATGTAAAACATTTCATAACTTCTTAAGTCTTGATAAGAATGCTTCATGGTAACTCCATTTGAAATAACTTTCACCACTTTAAGAGGCAGTTGTACTCAATAAGATCACACTGCTCCGCAATCTATTTGTATTATGTTCCTTTATAATGTCAAATTGTGTACTGTTTGGGATCTGGGCACCAATTCAGCATCTTGAAATCCTTCTTGTCTCTATTGCTTGCTCTATTAACATGTGGCCTGAATCTGTCGCGTGTTGATCATTATCTCTGTCTCTATTTTCTAGACATTTCATCTCCTTCTTGGGTAGTGCCTTTCAATTTGAATAGTAGTAGTTATAACTTGATATTGCTACTTCATATTCCCTTTTTTACGGCTATTCATATAATTTAGTAATTAGTAATCAAGAGACCATATCAGTTACCAAATATACAACGAATTGCCATCAAACGCAGCATTTTTAGAGTAATAAATCCTTAGCGTTATATTCTTTTTCTTTTTGTCTATTCTTGTATTTGTTTTGAGTACAGTGGCCACCTATCCAGCAAACATTTGATGCAAATTTCGACACATGGTCCCATCCTTAATGTATGTTTAATCAAGTGATAAGTGTTCCATGTTATGACAAATATATCTTCCAATCATCTTTTACATGTACGTTACGTATGACAAACATCCTCTGTACATAGTTCCATATGTGGTCTAGAAATCGCTCACTAGTCATTATTGTCTAATGGGGTCAAATAGACCCAAAATGTACAACTCCATAAAGCACACAAAGATCACAACCTTACAACTAATCCATATACATAAGAAACACACAAGATTACAATCATATATACCCTGCCAACTATCCTATACAAACCAGTCCCATTACAACATATGAGTACAGATGAATATATATGACATAATATAAACAGACACCAAACACATAAATATACTTAATTCTTAACTTGCGTGATTCTTCATCCTACTGATAGTAACCATGCACTTCATCTATATTACAGGGTACTAGAAGGTCTGGAACCTTTGTGGTTAGCATCAGTTTTCCCTTCAACTATCTTAGCAAGAAGAAGAAAGGGATAATAGGAAATATATCGAACAAATGGTATGGTTGAAGAGGATGGCAGCCAAAGAAGGGCATACAAGAACACAACCATGAAGGCCAAAACCACACTTAATACCAAAAAGGTAGTGGCCAACCAGCTAAGTTTGTTGACCACAAGATACACACCTGCCAAAAATGCCAGAGATAGTGTCGTCAAAGAAATACCTAGAACTGGCATCGCACACTTCAGAGCAAAAAGCATTAAACGCAGATCATCTAAACGAGCCCATAAGAGAATTATAGTTGTAATAATAGCCCCAAAGACGGAGATTGTGAGGGAGAGAATGAACAAATGGAACATCCCATGATTCAACATAACAGCTGTTCCCTTATCTACGCCACCCGGCATGGCGAATTCGGCAGCAAAGGATGCTGTTATTATAAGAGTTGAAACCAATATCAAAGTGTCAAGTCTATCTTTATATTTTTTGGTGCTGGCTGATTCTCTTTCTTCACCATATATTAATGTGTCATTTGAAAGCACTGGCCCAGCAGAACTTCGAGGCGTACTAGCAGATTGCAATGCAATCCATGTAAGTACCTGGAAACAAACATTTTCAAGAAGAATCATGATTTTGAGAAAAGGAATTTTGAAATTGTTAAATTATGAATAGCAACTTGCCTGCGCAATGGATGGATTTTTGCCATGCCTTAGTTCAGCAATGTCTAGAGCTGTTTGGTCTTCTTGGTTTAGCACAGTGAGATTGACTCTGCTGTCCCAAGTCAACGAATGCACAATTTTGGGATGGTAGTGAAGGGTGGCCAAATGCAAAGGAGTATTCCCATCATTATCTGTCTGGTTTATCATAATCTCATGTTTAGGATGTTGGAGGATGTACCTAACAAGCTCATATTTTCCACTTTTAGCGGCAACGTGAAGCAAAGTTCGGCCGTTTTTGTCAAGCAACTCTGTGGGATCTTGATAGTATTTTAGTAGCTTTTCAACTACTTTGACATGACCTTTAATACATGCCAAGTGAATAGGGAAGTAGCCATTGTTGTCCCTTTCAATGGTACATGAAGAACATTTCTTTACTAAGCAGGAAACAGCTTCATGGTACCCTATAGACGCTGCCTCGTGGAGGGCAAGCCTTCCTTCTTCATTTCTTAAGTGTATCCAATTTGGTTTCTTGATCAGAATGGTTTGCAACATATCTACACAGACAAACAATATAATCAGGACTCATATACTGGCAAATAAAGATCCGTATGACAATATTGCAAGCGTGTGAATGTTTTAGCAAGATGTTGAAGAAATGAATAATCCATGAGTCATTAACAATATACTTACCCATGTCTCTCTCGGCAAGTGCCGGAAGAAAAGGAGATTTTCCTTGAGGCTTGACATCATATTCGATGCAAATATCCAATAGTTGATCAACAACTTGCTTACAACCAACCTCACTGGCCACGTACAATAATGATTTCCCTTCCTTGTTGATTGCAAATACTGCTAAATGATTGACAATTTTCTTAAATTCAGCTTCCATCTCTAAACCATTTGTAATGAAAGAATCTTGAAAAGCCCTGAAAATCTTATCCCCATTTTGGGCATTAACCATAAATGCCTCATGAAAGAAAGTGTTTCCTTGCTTGTTTCGCAACAAAGTCAAAGACACCAAGAGCATCATTTGCAAAGTGAATTGATCTTTATGACCATCTGTCTCACGTCTTATAAAAGGCAACCAACTGTTCAAGAGATTTCGAATGGTAGAGGCATGGCCTGCTCTTGCAGCAGCATGCAGTGCGGTGTCATAATTGCTGTTAGTCACTGTAAAAAGACAGGGAGCTTGTTGAGCTATATTGTCTACCATTGCATTCTTTCCATAGGCAGCTGCTAAGTGCAGAACAGTATTCTCCAAAGGGGTGCGTTGTTTATAAATAGCAGGATCAGGTACGATGAAATCTCCGTGTGAGGGGGAAACACTGGAGTCCATGGAAACATATGCAGCTGTAAGCAAATTCAAATCCGTGTTGGGTCCATGTTCTTGTTCACTTAACTTGTGATTCAATATTGATGATGAAATTTCCATCTCCCTTGAGAGTACCGCCGCTTGCATTTCAGGTTCTGGCAACCACATGCATGGCTCCATCGGTGTTTCTTCCTCATCAATATATTCGGTACTCTCTGCCATGTTTGATTTTGACTTAAACATTGTTTCTCCCCCTTGGATTCCATCGCATTGCTCGAACACAATAGTCACGCCAGATGTTTCACTTGATGATGCAAAGACATATTTCCTGTCAGAATCTGAATAAGAAAAATTATGATATGTTTGATTGAACCAGTGTTTTGAATCTCAATCAGGTAGCTATACTACCTGTGTTCCTTAATATAAGAACTAGATAACTACTCTGTGCATATCAAAAAAATTATTTAAGTTTTCTTTCCTAAATATCTATATTAATCGTACATGTTGAAACTATTCCCTGATGAAAACTCCTTAACATATGCAATCATCATAAGAATTACTTTGGGATAAAATGAATAGATATTAGAGGCAAAATGGATTGGACTCTTATATTGACCATCAAATTGAACATCCAAGTAACTCTTATATTAATGAATAAAAGCATTAATGGAAAAGGAGAGTGATGAAATTTGGCATATCGCAACATCTTTCAGTGTCAGATTCAGATGCACTGGGCCGCGGGAAGAAAACATACCCTCGAAAAGAACCTGACACATGTTTGCTTGACATTATTGTTTAAATCCCAATCAATATTGTTCCCAAGTTTTTATTAGTCGTCATGGATAACAAAGCAAGAATATAATACCGATTCATTTTGAATGATAGTAAAACAAAGGAGTGACATACAGACCCGTATCATTTTCATTCCCAATGATAACCTCCAGCCCGGGTTCCGATCGGTCCTTATTCATCGCGGGTAGAAGCCAAGTTACTCCATCTTCTCCTCAAACAATAAATAAATTATAAGTTTTAAACTTTCTAGAATAATTTTATGTTCAATATTATGGATGTCAAATGCATAATACTACTTGTATGGAATAAAAATATGTCTAACGAAAACACGTACACGCAGTGGTGTGATTAATTTATATTTATTAAATTATTCTTAATGTATTGAAATTTAAGCATATAATCATCTTTCATCCATAGAGAAAATATAAAACATGACCCGCACGTTTTCAATAATATAGGGAGCAACAACATAAATGATACTCCTTCGGTCCTAAATACAAGACCCATTTAGGACTGGAGGAGTATAAGAAAAAGTTTAGAGCCGATAAGAACTTCATTGAGATAGTGTAGCAGCAATGCTATATGGATAAGAAAGAGCTAAGAAAATGAACATACTTGCTCATTTAATGATACTCCATATGGTGTCTTTATTACCTTCACATTGCACGCACATCACAACGCCTTACAAATTCTTGTACATCTTTCAACAATTTCTCCAAAACAATTATATAAATTAATTGAGTCATAAGTGATAACTTTTTATTTCATATGTGTGTATTTCATCCTCTTATTTTAATTTTATCTTTTAATAAAGATATGTTATTGCTGAAAAGAAACTAAATAAATTATTCTTTTGTCCGGAATATAAGGTAAGTTAATTTAATTTCTCATATAATAAAAGATGCTTTGTTTAGAAAACATTCTGTTCAAGAAATGTTACAAAAAAATCATAGCAATATATATATATATATATATATATTATATAAAACAATACGTATCTTAGTGGGTTAATAAAATTTTTAGTACCTGAAATTTAATTTCAATTTGATTTTAATCCTTATTTAAGGGACCACAAATTTTATGACGGACTAAAATGAAATCAAAATTTAGGAACCAAAATCACTGCTTTTAAATTTTAGAGACGAAAATCAAAATGAGATTAAATTTTAATGACTAAAACGACAGAGGAGCCAAAACCAAAATGACGTCAAATTTTAGGAGCTAAAAATTATATTAAACCTATCTTATAATTATTAGTGAAAAAAAGAAGCAAAACACACATAAAAAATGGTTTGATCTCTTATTTTTCTAATTAATTAGTTGGAGGTTTTTAAAGGGGGGGCTGCTCCCTTTTCCCCTCGGAAATAATGAGGGATTTTAAAGGGGAAGTTTGCATTTCAATCATAACAAAACGAAAATTCCTTGCCTCTGATCAATCCAGCCAATTGCTCACACTACAAAAAAACAGTTGATTGGCGACAAAATTCGTAACGAAAAAAATCCCATCACTAATTTCTGATGGAATTTGCGATAGAAACAAATTCCGTCATTAATTTCCGAAGGATTTACAACGGAAATTCTGTTGCTAATTTTTTTAACAGATTAGCGATGAAACAACAGATTAGTGACGAAATTTATGTCCGTCACTAATTTGTCAGAAAATCCATCACTAAATATTTAGAGACGAAATTAGCGACGGAATTTTTTCGGTCAGAAATTTCCATCACTAATTCCATCGCTAAATTGTTTGTCACAGAAGTTTTTTGTTACTAATTTTGTTGTTAATTCTATTCCGTCACTAATCAATCACTAATTTTAAATTTTATTACTTTAAATTGTAATCTTACAAAAATTTATATAATAACAATTAAGAATATAATAATTTAAAAACATTTTTAATTATAAAATGAATTGATATATTTATGGAGTTGGTGTTAATGAAGATATCATCATCATTCATGTAATCATTATGTATATACTAAAAATAGAAAGATAATTTCTTAGAAAACTTGTTTATATTTTGTTAAAATAAATTCCTCTTGATTATTAATAATAATTAAAAATATAATAAAAATATCAATACCTTTCTTATACAAACTGATATAAGAAAGAAATAATTTTATCATATGTACTAGGGCTGCAAAAACCCGGTAGTCTGATCCAACCCGAGCAAACCCAGTCCAGTCCGGTCTACAAAAAATTGACCCAAAACAAGACTAGACCATACTGGATCGGACTACTCTCATCGAGCTAAACTGGACTGGGGACTGGCCCTTAGACCAATTAGTCAAGTCCAATCTAACCCGGTTTTTTTTAATTATTATTTATATAATTTTAATTTGATTTAATTTTTCTATGTAAGTTTTCTGTCTATTCAAATAATCAAAATTTATCTATTAACTTCCCAAGTAACGAGCATGCGTATATATTTTCTACAATATAAGATCTATATTAATGAGGATTAATTAATAAAACATGACATTATTGGGAAATTGAAAGGGAATGATCAAATTTGATGAAATTTGGATTAAAATAAGTGTAAAATTTTATATGGTAAGTTATAATCTTGCCTCCTATCAAAGAAAAAAGTTTTTAAAAAAATTAAATTTAGCTCCTTGATTGCTTGGACTGGTCTAGGCAATCCAGAGGACCAAGTCCAATCCAACCCGACCTCGGGTTGGTACTGGATTGGACCAGACCTCGCGCTGTCTTTTCAGCCCGAGGTCTTTATTGGACCAGACTTCGGGTTGATAACAAATCGGTCAAGTCTGGTCCATACACACTCCTAATATATACAATATATTGAAATATATAATATATGATAGAAATTCAAAACCTAAAAATAAATTTATATGAATGCAAACTAATATTGAAATGAATTTTGAATTTCAATCATTAAACAATAAAAATTAATCATGATATAATTAATACCCATGATATAGATTGATTTTGGTCTTCAATACAAAACAAATGGTATATACAAAGAATTTTGAGAAAATAAATTACATAGGATATATATACAAGTAAGAGAATACTGTTTATCATAATCTATTCAAATCATTTAATTTTTTATATAGAATAATTTATTAGATTTTATTATAGTAGTTATTTTTTGAATAACAAGATTTTTTGACTAATTGTAAATTATTTTCTTCAAATATATAAAACATATATAAATAATATAATATAATGTAATAGAATACATATATAATTAAATTGTATATCTTATCAATGCTAATTAAAAATAAATTTAAAAAATATTTATAAAAAACTATTTATGATTTAAAATTCAAAATTAGTGTTGTTAGAAATTAAAATTATATTAAAAATATTTTTTATAAAAAATTATAAAACAAATAGTAAAAAAATATTTAAAAAATATTTTTTTATTAAAATAGTTATGGTTAAAATTATCATATAGTATATTTTTAGTTTTTAATAATATATATAGTTGTTTGTGTAAAATAATATTTTATATATATATTTAATTTTATATAATAAGTCAACAGGTTTATTGTAACACAACTAGTAAAGCCACATGCGCATACAGAGGAGGTCATGGGTTCGAGTCATGGAAAAGTCACTTTGAGGAGGAATTATGTGGTGGTGACACGTGACAGGTAGAGGTGAGGTGGCAGCATAACACACATGAAGATGGTCACCAGTGATGACGTGACAATTGGTAGAGGTGCCATATGACATTTTAATTTTTTTTCAAAAATCAGGTTAGGGACGGAAAAATTTCGTCGCTAAATTCCGTTGTTAAAAGCATATTTTTCTGTAGTGCCGAAAGGAAGATCACTACCCTCGAGAAAAATTTAAATTGCACATCTCTAATTAGTTGATCTAAGGGAAGCAAGATAAACATGAAAGAAATTGGAAAGAATAATAAAGTCAAAGCGTCGGCTGGGGAAGGAAACAAGAGTTTGAAGTTCTTACTGCTGTTTGGCTCTTGTGATTCCATCTGCAGAAGCGATGATGAAGTTTCAAAATGCACGACCGGACTCAGTGATGAAGCTTCCACGTCACTATGCCTCTTCGACCGTTTCCTCACTCTTCAACTTCACTGACCATACATGAAAAACCTTCGCACCATCGGTTTCCTTTATTTATAGGAATTAGCCGTCAACTTCTCTTACTATCTCCCCTTAATATAAAAACTAATTCACTAATAATAAATATATACTTCTCTAATCCTATTTATAAAGCACTTTCAGCATATTTTACATAAACTAAGAAAAACCCTAAAATACATTAACTTTCCATTAAAATATAACAAATTTCCAACTTTATCCATATTTAATATATATACACATTTATTTCAAAAGAAATAACTACCTCCAATATAATAAATGAAGGACAAAATAGTATATTCATACTGAAAATATAATGAGGTGACTTATAAATAGGACTCAAAAAAACTTTTTCTC